CGACTAATTGTCAAAACGTTGCAGCTCCAGACCAAATATCTGCAAAAATACTTACATTTCCATCAGCCTCAGCTGCATTATGTGGAGCAAATGTTTGCTAGCTAACATGCTAGTATGAACATGTTAAACATACCTGCACAGCATTTAGACAGGCTCACAAAGCTGTTACTGAGGCCGAAGACTCTTTGTTCTGTTTAACATCTGTTCAACAAGGAAAACACTGCTAAACCACTGGCAGCTGCCAAAAATAACCTACTTTAAGTCTGCTACGGTTGACTATTGTGTAGCTCTACTAAACCAGTGGGCTGTTAAGAAACCTGCCAAAGGGCACAAGGTTGAAGTATCATGGCGTTCCTGATATACTTAACTTATTCATTTCTCTCTTTTCCTTTAAAAAAAAGGGAACATAACCAAGCTTCAGGCCCTGAAAATTAAAGCTTTAGTACAGTTGTAACAAAATGACAGTAGAGATACTTCACACTGGACTGAAGTTTCTTATTAGGATCAGACCTTCTGCTACATGTGTATATTCTGTTTCTGATTCTAACTTAGCTGCAAATTATTCCCCTCTCAGCTTTATATATGTTGTCATGTAGGTGGTCACAGTCTTGATATACACCGTGGGTGAGTCAACAGGACGACCAGCTAAGTGTGTATGTGTGTGTGCTTGCAGAGTTGTGAGAGGGTTCAGTACAGTAATCAATACCACCCTGTAATTTGACAGAGCAGATCAATGGTGAAGGTAGAAAGAGAGACGAGTACAGACACATTATCATAGCTGTGAGCTTACATGCAAGTGTACAGGTATACATGTTAAAACGTGTTTGTATTATACTGATTTGCAATAAGATAAAAAGTAGTTCAAAGAAAAGTATCTTTACAAAATTGGACATTGTTTCTGAAAAGGCGAGATGCTTCTGAAATGTGTTTCTTCAATGTCTGGGACACTGCAACTTTAATTCTCTATACCTTTACTGTAGTGAGGTACGAGACCAAGACTGAGAAGCCAAAACCTCAAAACCTAGCTATGTAAAATGAACAGCATTTGCATGGGCGGATACCAGTAAGGATTAAGTGAGAGTACAATATGTCTTCTGTGTTTTGGGTGAACTGGCCCTTTAAGGCCTTTTAAGCTGACATAGTGTACCCCATCAGAGACAGGTCTATGTGGATGGCAACCAGAAGAGCAGAAGGGCTGAATCTGTTTGGGATATACAGTGTGTTCCCAGGTGAAACTTCTTCACAGGAGGCAATCTCTTATGTGGATGGCAACCAGAAGAGCAGAATCTGTTTGGGATATACAGTGTGCTCCCAGGTGAAACTTCTTCACAGGAGGTGTTATCATTAATATGATAAATACGATGCACCAAGAGAAAGACGATGTCAGAAACAGGATCATCTTGTATAGGATGAAATGATGGAGGATGGCTAATACAATGACAGGAACTCTGCCTCTCTCGCTGGCTTATAAAAGTAAACACACACCCATGTCTTCCTTATGTATTATTCATCCAGTAAACCATAAATGAGACTAAACTGGAACTTCAAGTATGTGTTTACATTGTGCTTAACATGCAGGTGGCAGAACGTGGTTTGGATTCCACTGTAATCATGCAATGAATACACTGGGCTACTTACTACTTCATCTGAAGGTAACCTGAATAACATCCCACTTTAGTCTCCTCGTCCTCTGTGAATGCCAACCACAGTACCAGCATTTAAATTCCTTTAATTTTTAGGATTTTTTAAAAAAAATCTTGGAAGCAAAGAAAAGACCAGGACACTAATTCTCTAATGGTTTAGATATCAAGAACAACACTGTCAGGAATGAAATGAAACTTACCTTTGGGCCATCCTTCCAACAACAAATTAATACACAAAACAAGACTGCTTCACTGAGGCTATTAAACTCAATGCCATTTATATAAACAATGTGCATTACTTAGGTATTTTCTGTGCAATACTGTGGACACATACTCTATGCATCATATGACACTGAGCGTTAATGAGGGGGGTCTGACCAACATTATACTCACATTTGACTGGATTTCGATACTCCAGGCACAACAGTCTTGGCTTGGATTTTGTCTTGAGCAAGCTGTGTAATTCACTGCAACCTTTAATATGTTAATCTGGTGTGTATGGTCCTAGAATAAGGAAACTTACATTGGACCAGAAACTTAGCCAAGAAAAGACTCGACTCATTCTTATCCTCCTCCTTCACATATACTGCACAACAAGGGGGAAGCTAGAGGTAAACATACTCTCCCAGTGTGATTCTGAACTTATTTTGGCCTTAAAGATTATTCATAGACAGTACTGCATTATACATTCAAGTCTGTAGTGTGTGTGTGATAAAGAAGTTAGGACTCACATTGAGCCAGTATGCCAGCCAGAGCAGTCTTGAACTTTTCTTTGGCCTCTTCCATCTCTTTTTCGTGCTGACTCTTCTCGCTCATCAGCCGACGGATGTGGCTGTTTGAGGACTGGATCATAGAGTAGAAGTTGTTGGCGTTCCTGCGGTTGACTTCACCGCGTTCCAGCCAGGTCAAGAGCACACGCACTGCTTCAGCAAACTTGCCGTCATCTGGCCAAGATGTTAGGACACAGAGAAAGTAAGAGTCAGGCTCTATAAAGGAAAGGAAAGTAAAAAAAAATAATAAAAATAAAAATGATAAAGTTCTTCCCTGTACACTTCCGGGACACTTGCAGTAATTTCATTCATACTCCATAAGGTTATAAAGTACTGCATGTCCTGCTTTCTGGAATATAATATACAGCTGAAAACTGGTAGCTTTAAATAAAAACCAACATTATGGACTTCAATTACACCTGAAGAACATGAACAAAGAAGAAAATGGAGGGGAGAAAACTCCATTTGTAGGTGGTCTGGGTGAAACGCCCCTCTGAGATTCTTGAGACCAACAAGAGAAATTAGGTTTGGAATACAGGAATAATTGTAACTGGCACTGCAGACAGCTAAACCCCTTTCATCTCTCAGGATGGAAAATTCAGGAAAAGGGTCAACCTTAATCTGCGACAAATAGCCGGGATGTGCGTTTTAACAACAGCAGCCCAAAGTGATCAGAAACATATCCTTTTCTAAAACTGCACCATGTTAGAGTTCATTACAGCAGGGCCTGGAAAGGAGAGCTGAAAAAAAGACACGCACAGATGGTAGAGCGACAGAAAGTCGCAGTCATTTTGTTATCAGGCAACTGTGACTGATACCCGGAAGTGTCACTGGTCATTAATGAAACAAGTTTATTCAGCCAGAAACATGACAGACATCTGAGAGGGTGGGGGGAGACAGAGTGTGGAGATAAGGGGAGAAAGGACAAGGTAAAGGAAAGACGCATGCACTGAATGGTGAGTGAACTGGCAGACAATCTTTGTGAAGTCTTCTTAAAGCAGATTCCCTGAATTTGTTAGATTAGCTCCACCAGCTACAAGTAAGGCTCATTTCTGTAAACCAAAAATATACATACACATGTGGAAGTACAGACAAAAACAACTGATTCTCCCCCTTATTGCATGACTTGTACCGTTTTCATTAGTGTCTGCTCATTAACCATGTGACAATTAGAATTTGTGCTGTAATTGTAAATGCCCTTATGTTGATAAAACAACTATCATGGCATTTCTTTACTAAGCTGTGTCTCTTGTCTGGGCTATAATATCATACAACCAGTGCTGTATACTGTATATGTTATGTTGTAACCTTTTATCTTGTCTCCCAGCTGGCTGCACTCGTGCTCGGAGTAGTGGACGATAGGAGGAGGAGAGGGTGGCCGGAGGCGATCCTCCTCCATTTTGCGCCGGTGCCTCTCCTCTCTGGCCAACATGCGTTGGCGACATTCCCACTCATACAAGTCGTCTCTGGCCTGAGCGAAGTCCACATGGAGACGACCAGTGTCTTTTTTGTCTGTGCTGGAGCCCAAACGAATACGGTAACCTGTATGAACAAAAGGTGGAAAAATGGAAAACCAAAAAGAGATGAAAGAATAAAATGAAAAAGGGAATAAGTAAATATAACAGGCATAGTAGGAAATGTATCAAAACATGTTAATCTGGCTGCTCAGACAGTTTGATGTTATTTTGCGTGTATTGTACTGCAGGTATGTGAATGTCCATCCACATTGTGCTTTTAGTCGTGCTAGCAGCACAGCTCTAGGAATGGTGTCTACCAACTGTTGATCTACCATTATGGTCCAGAGTAAAGTATCTGAATAAATACTGAATAAACTACCATGAAAGAGACATTCAGGGTCTCGTCTTGCCTCTGGTGTGAAATGCTGACCTGCTGTCTGAACTCACAGGCTGGCTCACGACTATACCGCCCTGAGCTTGATCTGTATGAACAGCACAAGGGTGGGATGTTGGAATGGCAGTAGCGTGGGATCTCAGTGTAAAAACGATTAGTGACTCCCAAATGTCAAGCTGAAATATTTTTGTTAGCCTTTAACTTTTCTACTATCATCAGTTTGTCAGGTACTTTGGTTTATGAACAAACACCTACAAAACTAATGGCATTTCCATCAGCCTCAGTTGTACTTAGTATTTAGTGCTAATTAGCAAATGGTGCAAGTTAACACACTCGACTAAATCCTAAACATGGTAAACATTAAACCCTGTGTGTTAGCATCATGATTGTGCCCGGTATGCCTAAGTACAGTCTTACAGAGCTTGTTATTAGCAATTTGACAGCAGAGAGCAACAAAAATCAAAGGAGACCGACATGTGACAAAAACCCCTGGTCAGACTGAGAAGGTCACGGTTATGCGGTTCCCATTCTCATCTAACAGTTACTCTTTTATTGAACTATGCTCATTTCTTTTTGACTTGGCAAACTTACATCTGATAGTCACTAAAGTCTTACACCCTCTAAACTGCTCATAAAAATGACAAACAACCAAAACAGATTAGCTCAGTTGGGGACACCATACATCTTTAAATGCAAATGGAAAACATGCCAGGGGGTGTGAATTTGATTAAACTGAACAGCAACACAGGAACAAAGGAGCATGAAACCAAAAAGGTATACTAATGAGCTTTAGTCAGTATGATGTAGGGTTTGTTCCTGGGCTGAAAGCGAGTTGCGTGCCATCATCTTCTACAAGTGTACGTATTTAGAACATTTCTCAGATAACGGAGCAAAACAATGTACAGGTTTTTTAATTCAGCTCTACCAACCTACCACCTCTCTCTCTATCACAGCTGTTTCCTATTTTGCTTTGTTTGAGAAGAAATACTTTAGCTCGGGGGTTTTATGCAGTAAGAAGGCCTGATCCTTTTGTTAACACATGAGACAGACTGAAGGAAAGCAATTACTTCTGTAGTGACACTGAAAGACCACAATGTCCCTCATTACCCCCTCTTTTCCTTACTCTCTCCTCCTTATTCAATTTTCACTAATGGCTGGTTGAAATTATGCCCACTTTGTGATTTAATTGGATGAAATTATCTGAGTGTGTGTTCAGCGTGTGTTTGGGTACACATGACTGTGTGCTCCTGCCGGACACAGTAATGATACCCAATGTGGCTCACTGAGGGGCCAAACACTCTTCACTGAAAGGAAGGGGGGGGAGCGGCGGATGCCAGTACAAAAAGAAAAAGATATGAAAGTGAGTTTGGGGGATTCTGCTTCAGTCAGGGCTCACGGCTTCAGGCTCTCAATCTACCACTTCTTCAATATTTCATATGAAGAGATCTCAGTGTACTGGGGCTGCTGGACTGTGCATCATCGCTGGGTACTGTGTTTGCACAGGGTGTGTATGTGTGGGTGAGGTAATATATATGGGGAAAACTACATAGATCCATCAGGCTGTATGGCCAATATATAGCCCTCAGCTCCACATCTCACTGCCGGAACAAAGGCTGACAATAATCACAGGATCTCTCATTCAAACTCATTTGGCACATGCACAAACACACAAGTATGCAGGGAAAACTACTGAACTGGCTGTTAGGCTAGGTTAAAAGTTTTTTTTAATAAGCAGGAATATGTGCCCAGTAGTTTGCACCCAGAGATTATAGACTGCTAGGGCTATAGAAGCTGCATCGAAAATGAAAACAAGAAACCATAAGCTGGTGTCATATGGTTAGCAGAGATGCTTTTTAGTCCTAATGGCCATTTATATCTTCTATTCTCCGAGCCTTTTATCATTCCTAAACCACTGTGAGTGTGCTGTCCTTTCTAATTGTTAACCCATTAGAAATGTGAAAAGGGAGAAGTTGCTGGCTCTGCATTTTGTCTCCACTTAAAGTCAATTCAAAATGTTCTTGGCATGATCTCCTTGAAATGAAAACATGGGAGCATACTGGGTTATTTACTGATCCTTTAGGTTTGTGTAAATTCAACTTTTCTTCTGAGAACTTTTTTTTGGCATGGTGGACAGCTCTAAATAATGGAATTTGCTTAAGTGCCACAAATACAGTTAAGTATTATAACAATAAGCACAAACACGACCACAGCTTACCAGACAAGAAAAGAGCTTTGTCCACAGTGAACTCTTCTGCAAATCTGATGTGGCAGAAGTTCTTCTTGCTTTTGCGTATGGCAGTGATGTCACCGCACTGTCCGAAGACCTCCATGATGAGCTGCTCAGTGGCGTTTTCTGGCAGACCACCGACAAACACCGTTTTACACCCTGGAGGGCGGTCTCTTGTGGCTGGAGGGGGAAGGTCTGTGCAGAAGTAGTGGAGAGAAAATACAATCTTGTATAAACCATCATTAGGTTGAAATATTAAGACAGAGCTGAGAAAAATACCCCGAATGCTGAAAACTGGGTGTACATGCATTTATGTAGCAATAATACAGCCGAAATATGCAGAATTCAAGAAATGATTCAGCTGTCCCAGAACACTGATTATGCCCCATGAGCAGATGAAGACAATATATCCAATGGCAGGAACATGCTGCTTTGGTTACACCACTGTTACAGCAGAAATCACTTTGGCAGCGCTGATTTCCTATCATTTGTTTTTAGCCACAAAGAAATATGTAGTTTGTCTGTATGTGTAATCAAACAAAATCCGAATAACAATGTTATAGTTTCTGAAATGAGAAAGAAAAGAAGCAGCTGCACATTTGTAGCTCTAATCCCAAAAACAGTTATTCAGTTCTTACTTTAGATGCCAAAATTCAAACAGCACTGATCTCTTCAGTGCCCAGGTTTATTCTGTATACT